TACATTTAATGTAAATGCATTAGCATTACATCTGTACCAACTTCCTGCTACTCCCAGTGCTCATAATATAAATCAAATTCGTATATTGAAGATCTCAGATCCACACTGAAATGAAATAAGATAAAAAGGGCATGCTTACTTTTAAGTGTATGAATAAATCTCAATTCTTGTTTCGAAGGACACCTTGAAAATTCTACCTAATCCTCAGAGTCTAGTAAACCAACAATCTTGTATACCACTCTGCTAGTTTAATAGCATATTGCTTACATTTCAACTTAACGAATCCTAAAAACTCTTCCTGATGGAATAAATGCCCATTTTATACACTGTTTATAGGAGGGCAGAGGCAATAGTTTCCCCTTGCCCCCCAAATTTACCGTATTTTTCGCTCCATAAGACACACCTTTCCATAAGATGCACCAATTTTTTAGAAGAAAACAGGAAAATATAATCTGTTTTCTTCGCTCCATAAGACGCACAGACTTTGCACCCCCCTGTTTTGTGGGGAAAAAGTGTGTCTTATGGTGCGAAAAATACGGTATATCACACATTGTTGGGCATATGTAGACAATTGATGTGGCAGTTCCAAAGTTCCACATATGAAACAAAAGGTTATTTGTACAGCATCTTTTTCCATAGTTACATCTGTTTTATCCATGTCAATGCAGCTGTGCTCCTTAAAGTAATCTCATAATGACTATCCTGCAATTCACAATACACTACAAACATCCTTAATAGGGAAAATATTTTTCCTAGAGAAAAAATGGATGCTAAAAAAGAGAAAGATGTTAGTTTCTCTTTTGCAGTTACTGTATAAATACTGAAGTGCTGTGCTCTATACCTAGCTTCCCAACCAAAGAGTACAAATACGCAGGCAGCTAAATTGCTCCAAATCAACAGATGGTTTTTTCCTTTTGTAAAATTAACGACTCTTCAATGTTCATTCATAAGCTACCCTCAAATACTTTGCATCAAAACAGAGAGAGCTTGCAACACTGGTTGAAATCTTGTTACTTAGTGTAACAAGTCACAACTACAGTAGACCCACTGAATTAGTGGGGATATATTGGGCCTATACAATTAGCCAATATATTGTTTCTAGGAAAATCTATTTGTCTCCTAAGTATTTGAGAAAATATGGTAAATTCCCTAACATTTCAAACAGCTGAGCTACCAACTGTAGAAAAACTCAGAGTGAAGGGGAGCTTTAAAGAGAATGATGCATAACAGAAAGTCCTGGGACATCAATTCAGTGAGCCCTAACTGTACTACATCACTGTTCATCTGTCTTTGCAAGCAGAAACAAGGTTGGTCATAAATGTTTTTTGTTATTGCACACTTTGACACAGGAGACCAGAAATAAATTCCTGCATGGAAAAAAAAATCTTTACAAAGGTTTATATTGCACAGAGCTAAAATAGAACAACCATCATGGAAATGAGCAGCGTAATGTACTTCATTAACAGTCATTAAGAAGCTGATATTTTATTTAAGAAACCCCATGTAGCACTTTAAGGACAACTATTGCAGGCACTCTATCCACCAAATCTCGTTCCTTAAATCTGTTCTTCACTTCCACTGTGTATTCATAAGGGATTTGGTCTAGATTATACCTGACTAGCCCAATGGTTTTTCCTACTAGTTTAAGTTTGAGTTTTGCTATAAGAAGCTGATGATCAGAGCCACAGTCAGCTCCAGGTCTTGTTTTTGCTGACTGTATAGAGCTTCTCCATCTTTGGCTGCAGAGGACAAATCAATCTGATTTTGGTATTGTCCATCCGGTGATGTCCATGTGTAGAGTCGCCTCTTGTGTTGTTGGAAAAGAGTACATTCCAATCCCCTATAATGAGAAGAACACCTTTCTTTGGTGTCAGTTCTAGAAGGTGTTGTAAGTCTTCATAGAATTGGTCAATTTCTTCAGCATCGGTGGCTGCTGCATAAACGTGGATTACTGTGATGCTGAAAGGTCTGCCTTGGATTCATATCTTATGTCTTAGTGTGTGAAATAGTTAGAGCTTCCCAGTTATTTTTGTTCATAAAAATGCTTAAGATTTTACATGCGTTTTTTTGAACATGTGGGTACATCGAGAAAATATGGTAAATCAGTTAACTAAGAGTTGGAAACCAGGATTTCTTCTGTATTTTAAAAGAATGCTAAAACAATTGTGGATCATTACAGAAATAAGGATGTGGGAGTAACATAATTATGCTTTTTTAAAACATCAGTTTCAGTTCTCTCTCTCTTCTCTTTCCATTAGATGATTCAGATGTTCTGAATCAGTGCTTAGATGCCGCAATCAAGTTGAAAAGGACAAGTAAACTGTCTAGACACGGTACTGTTAGAGGATAATCTGTCTACTCTGCCAAGTGATGTTCAACCTATAATGCTAAAGCAAGGGAAGAATGGACGGCCAGGTAAGTGTTGAAATGCAGCTCCCATTAGCCTCAGTGAACGCAGCGAGTGGTAAAGGATAATGGAAACAGCAGCCCCCAGACACCTGGACAACTACAAATTCCACATCTCTGTGCCAAAGGTTTAGGCTCCATAATGTTACTCTTTGATTCAGTGCTGTTGGTAGATGGAACCATGGGTCAGGCTGGTGGGATAGAGTGCCTTATACCAGCTTAAAACTAATATAATATATATGGTATAGCCCCATCCACAGAAAGACAGTGCAATTTTTAAAGGGTTTTGTAGTTTTAATAACATGCTTTGAGACCTCAGAAAAAAACTAGCATTGCTTGTATTCTGGTGCTGTTTTCAAGTGGTTTTTAATTTTCACACTTTTAAAAACGGTTCAACATTTTCTCTGTAATTCCCAAAGAACATGTAAAAGTGGAGTTGATAAACAGAATAAATCAACAAACCTAATCATGAATTGGGCATATCTTTGGTATGCAAAAGACTGTTTAGATGGACTCACGTCTGTGTCCTCAGGAGGTTACTTTTAGCTGCACAATTTTCTGGCTTATATTCCTTGCTTAAACCTTCTGAATTGTACAAAATTAGTTGCAGCTCACTTCTTTCCCCCCCTCCCTTTCAACATTATTTAAATCCTCATTAATGGAAGAAAAGACTAGGGTTGAGATGAATAATAATGTGGATTCCTTCAATGTGTCCCACACTGTCACAAATAGGAAAGGTTGGGATATGGAGGTGAAATATGTTTTTTTTTGGGGGGGGGAACTAAATTGTAGTGTATCAAGGAGATCTCTTCATATGTTTGTGCCTACTGAACCTGACAGGATCTGACAAATCATTCTTATACTACAAGCAACAGATGCCCCACAGATGGAACACCTGCAGGATGATGACTTCAGTTTCTATTTAACTATGGTAGTAATAACTGGCTAAACAACTGTTACTGCTTTGGAGGAATATTGAAAACTGACAGCAGTTCTCAAACGATGGACAAAAAATAAGATCAAACTACACTGTTGTTGGTATACCAATTTCATTTCCTATTGTAATACTTCCTTGCAATTTTTCCCCAAAGAAATTCTCTCCTTGAGCAGAATGGTCTTGCCTATTGATTAAAGCATAATTCTCAATGGCCGGTGATTTGAGTTATCTGATAGCATCTGATGAAAGGCATCTTGTGGGTCTGGAATAAAAGGTGGAATCAATTGGGTTTTCCATTACAAGATATTGACTATTAAGTTCCTGACTGAACTAAATAGAGATCCAGTGAGTACATTAAGCAAGTGGTACAATAAAACATACTTGGGGAATAAGCTGACTAAAATACATAATCAGTTACTTAATTCATGCATGCAAATTACAGAGGTTCTTATTCATTCATTAGATAAACACACTTCCATTCCACAAGCTTAGATGAGCACATAATAAGCATATAGAATTCAACTGCAATCTATCACAGAAGTGAAAAAAAAAACCAGAACCTTGTCTTTCAAAACTCAGCACAAAGATCAAGATCTTATAGTACTTGGTAAAACTTTGGATTTAGTGAGGGATTCCAAGGATGGCTCAAAATTCTGAACAACTATTGGGATATATCTTGGAAAAATTAACTAAATTTTCACCCCAATTCCCTCATGGGGGACTCTGGGTTTTTGTGTAGCTCTGTTCCCCAGCTTCATAATTTAAAAAGAAGGCCATGTGGGAGGGTATATGCATATTACCTGGCCAGGGAGGGGGTTGATTGAGGAGCTGGGGTGTGATACCCAATGAACACCCACCTGAGCTGTATTTTGAAAACCACATCTCCAATGCAGCCTGCAATTTTTCTAACTCACCTCTAAGAAACAAGCCTGAGACAACCATCTGCCATGAGCATTCAGGACTCTAATTTTTCTGCACTATTGATGTGATACTGGCCCATGCCTGAGATTTTTCTAACTCACCTCTAAGAAACAAGCTTGGGACAACCATCTGCCATTCAGGACTGTAATTTTTCTGCACTATTGACGTGATACTGGCCCATGCCTGAAGAAGTGGACTTTGATCCACAAAGGTTAGCAGATTGCAAAGAAAAAAAAAGTTGTGAGTAAAGTGGAAAATGGGAAAGGGAACAAATAATAAAATGTGTAAGTTACAAAGAGATAGGCATGGTTGAAGTTCAGCCACTATTCCACTGTGACACGTGATAGAGTCTCAGGTGTCTAGTATAGATAGATAGACAGACAGACAGACAGACAGACAGACCAGCCCATGTCACATCTATAGCCTATGCGAAAACTGTATAGATCTCTGTGCTAGTCTCTTCTTTGCAAAAGGCAGACCAAGGTCAAGGTGGATGTGTGTGAGCGGTGCAGTATGGAATACCAACTAGCTCTACACACACACATACACATTAGTTCAAAACTATTATCGGATGTGTTTTGGTACTTCTTCAGTTTTGCGCTACAGTTCTAAGTTGCCTGTGGGAGAAACTGCCACCTAGACATAGCCAAAAAATTTGGAAACAAAAAAAAATAAGAAAGCATGTTATCACTGTGTTAGAAATAGAACCTCAAAAAATTAGTTTTCTGATACTCACTGCCTTTGCATCACCAGTGTCTCATTCTGAGGGCCATCCTGTCATAATCCTATTATAGCCTACAAGAAAACAAAAGCACAATGTAATGAAAAGGATGATTTATTGCATAATCAAATACCAAGAGAATACGATAAAACCTTTAAAATTTTTAATGAATCACAATACCCCTCAGTATGATTTGGCATATAAAAATAGAGACTTCCTTATATCCTGACAATGTCATATTTATTCTTACATCAAGGGTCACTTTCTGGTAGTAGATTGTGCAACTACACGGTGCCTGTGTCTCCATGTGGGCCACTTATATATGCATGTACAACAGTTTACAGCTCAAGATGTATCTATCTCAGACTGACTCAATAAAAAAGCCATAACCCTTAGTCCACAAGATATGAACAGGGCTAATAATGATAGAGCTTTCTGGAAACCATTAATTTATAGGGTCACCATAAGTCAGAAATGATTTGACGTAGCATGTAGGACACACAAACACCTCAATTCGCTCCACAGCTTTAGGCCTGATGTGTGGAGGCAATTACCTACAATGGGCTAATAAAATGATGACACCTCAGAATTTCTAGAAAGCAACACTTTTTTCAGTAGAACTGTACTTGAGTTTTAACCCAGATTTTTAATGCTTCCTCCATGTCATATACCAGGAAATGTCCCAGGTCAGGAAACCTCTACAGAGCTTCTGCTATCACTGATTCTACATCCTTCTGTCTGCAGTCTAACAGCTTCTTATTTCCACAAACATGATTCACAGGTATTTATTGTGGGACAAGAATCCTTGCCTATATGAGACCTGGCTGACTAGATTACGTTTCTGGAACAATGAATTCCAAAAAAACTGCTTGACACTGTTCTGAGGAGACAAGAGACTGCTAAATTGCTGTTTCACATATAAACAAACAAATAAACAAAAGGCTGACATGACTGTAGGGGTAATTATCTAGGGAGATAAAATGGATTGTATGGAGTTCATTATGTGCTCACTAGTTGTTTTTGACCTACTGCAACCCTAACAGATTCAAGGTATGTTATCGTATGTATTTTGGCCCTGCTTCGACGTTGTTCAAGAAGTGGTTTGCCACTGTTGGCCCCCAACCTCACTTCAATGAGTATCCATGGCTGAGAATTTGAACTCAGGTCTCCTGGGTTTGACACTGTTCACAATGCCATACTGGTTCATAGGGTATCTTGTTTACACTTTGTAAACAAGATACCCTACGAAATATGCTCTAGCTCTTTGAGAACTTGCTGTTCTAGCATTCAGAAAGCAGTCAACATGATGAAAAGTTTGTAACTTAACACGTCACAGGTTGTTATGAAAAGAAACACAGATGAGTTAACATTCACATCTATTCTCAACGTCTAACTCTCACAGAACACTCTTTTCCCACTCAGGAAGCAGATACATATGTGACCTTTGCATTCAATCCAACTCAACCAAACACAGCTCATTTAGAATTTAATCACATTCTCAACTGTGATTCAAAGCACTTGGCAAATAATCTTAAGGAACACACAAATCTGAGAATAATCTGAAAGTCTCCAATGACTGTTCAAGATGAAGCATAGCTTGCATTACAGCTCAGTTTACCCAGAACCTCCAATTCTCCAAGCAAGACTGTGCTCAAAAAGTCAGAGCACTAGATCAGAAAAAGAGAAGGGCACTATAATTCAATGGGTCCTTCTTGCCCACAATTCCCTACCCCAAAGCAGGTCTGTATGGAAGGGGAAACTTAATGCTCCAAGATGGTTTTTTTCCCCCTCATGCAGTGAATGGTATTTTATATATATCAGGAAATATCCTTACATAAAATTTTACACAATCCATGAAGAGGGTGTGCTTAGAGCCTGAAGAAACAGATTTCATACGTGAATACTTGATATTTGTTCAATTTTTTAGTGTTTCAATAAAATGTTTCACCTGCTCTTGGCATCTGTGTAATCTTTGAGACCATGCTGGCCCTTCCGTTGTTCTTTAAACGAGTAGTGCCCAAGAGGTCTACATCATTAGATTCTGCTAGAAGAACAACTTGGTTGTGAAGTGACCAATTATCTAGAGCACAGAAAACCTACTGTGTACATTGATATAGTGAGGGAGGGCTGATAAGGGTACATCCGATTACTCTAACAATTGATGTGTCTTCAAGAATGTACACAAAGCACATTTTAAAAAGTGTAGAAAAGGCAAAATCCTGCTGCACAACAGAAAATACGTCGTCATCACTAAAGACTTTCTTTTTTAGTTTTCAAGGCACACATGGCTTGTATACAATGAGACTAAGTCCAGTGCACTCTGAAACTAGAAAAAAAAGAGGAAGTCTTGAATTATGTTATTTTGAATGCACAAGCAGAAATCGCCCAACAGGATTTCATCCAGTAGGAAAGAAAATAATATTTAAAATCAACCTGATTTAAGCCCCACAGAGCTTAGCAAGTAGAGGGGGAAAGCAGCAACCAAAGTGATCCTGCAGGCCTTTGATCAGTGCTTTCCCCCTCCTTTTGCTGAGCCCCATGGGGCAGCAACCAAATTTTCTAATTTGGAGTTAGAAAAGTGGGGGTTGTCTTATACATGAAAAAATACGGTATCACTTAATCCTCACATAGACATAAAATAGGAGGGGCCTTCCAATGAATATAAAAAGACAGCTGCATCAGAGCAAGCATTTAGCAAGGCTATTGAGTTTTCCAAGAAGATACTGAAAAGTTACCGATCCTACTTTGCTTTAGTGTATTGTTTTCTTAGTACAAATATATTTTGGGTTAACTGTGCAGTATGCTTTATTAGATCTTTTCCAGTTCCTTTATATGGCTCATAACTGCACTTTTGAAGCTATGTGGTGAGATGAAAATTACAATGATAAGTAAGTAAAGTATTAATTCCCATTTTACACTTGGCATCAAAACACCTTCCTCATGAACTCTAAAGTACTTTTCATGAATTGGATGGGCATCTTTGCATAAAACATAAGTTGACACAAGGCCTTGCTTTCTAGCCTGCTTATCCGACCCGGTTCCTTAGATACCAATGAAAGAACCAAAAGACAGGTCTTGGCTTCCCAAATGCTTCTCTCTTTGTAATGCTTTTCCACATATTAAGAAAGACGCTTTTGCAACAAAAGTGATGAGAAACTAAAAGGTATTGTTGTCAAGCTGGGTAACATGCCAAACCATCTGGGTAGAGGAGCAGCAACACTCTTGCCTGCTACTTATTAAGCATCCAGATTAAAACTGATGATATATGATTGAGAGCCAAGGCTGTTTTCCTCACATAAATCACACTGATGTTATACTTGGCTATAATAGAGGCAGTTAAGATTCGGGAGAATCCTTTTCTCCAGCAAACTCCACTACTTGAAAAACTAAGAGACCACTCAAACAAACATTTTTAGAGTGAAAAGAAAATCTGTCAAACGAATGAAGTCTACAAAAATAAGAATTTGAGTAGGCCTCAAATATGACATCTTCCCTCTCCTTTCCTAAACATTTCCTTAGTCAAGCACTAATTTGTTTTTCCTTATGGCTATTTCATGTGGAAAGAATTAAACCTCCAAATACGATTATACACAAATTAACTAGTCAAACAAGTCAAAGGTGATTACTAGACGTGATGGTGGAAGTTTAATACTTGGTGTCAGAGAGAATATGTGTGAGTTTAGGTATGGAATGAGTAATAACAATAATAATAGAAAAATTGCCTTGTCAAATCAAGCATAGCGTTAATAATAAGCCAATGTATATGACAGTAAAAACTGTCATTTCCACAGCTATTAATGTAAATTGAACACCAGTAGCAGACACTGGCAAAGGAATATAAATCACACTTCATTATATTTCAAAATATAAGTGTCAGATAACTCCCTTACTCCCCACCTTCATCTCTCATTAGGAACATGCCCCCTTTCAAACAGTTTCACTTGGATTCTGTCACTTAAAGTACTCCCCAATGAACCGATAAATGACAATTTTATACTATTAAATATGGCTAATCTGCTTATGACAGTGAGGAGGAAGAGAAATCCCACCACCAAAACAGGCCTCCCGTTTATTTGAAGCACAACCTGGATTATTTTTTGAAGGAGAGGTCAGCTTCAGGAAACTGTATTTTTGTAGGGCATGTAGTCAATTTCTACAACCCATCTGCAGGATGTTGCTGCATAATTTCCACCACATTTGAAGTAGGGGGGGGGAACCAAGCAAGAACTGGGGGGAAATAAAATATTTCTGTAGAAAACAGTAACTCTTGAGATTAAGCAGAAGGCTTGTAACAGTCACTAATAAAGCTTCTGGTTTGTTTATTTTACCTCATGCACAGAGCCAGCTTGTCTACTCGTGACAAGCACTGAGCTGAAATGAGAAGTATCTTGGTAGTTTTTTAAAAAATCCATCCCATCAGCCACCAACCCAGTCCAAACTAATAACATCCATAACATCAGAGCTCTTTCTTCTGAATTCAATTCTTTTATCATTGCCTTCAATGAACACACACTACAAATTTTTAAATTTGGTTGTGTGTCCCCGTCCCCCTGCATTACTTAGGAGATTAGTAACCAGGCAGCTAGCTGGCTAATTCGTTAAAACAGCATAATTAATTGCAAACACACATTTTAAAATGCCAAATTATTAATGGCTGCATTAACATGCCAGATGCCAGGTTACTCAATTCTATGCATGGAAACTCTTTCCTCTAGTTCCTGTTTCTCAAGGTAATTTCACAGGTGATATTCTGGCTCATCAAAAACAACAACAACAACAAACAGCAGTCTGTAGATTTCCTTAAATAAGACAGTGCTTCCTTTTATTTACTTTGGGGCTTCACTGCAGGAATACAGAACAGAACTACAAAGCTACAGAGTTGGAAGCTACCCTGAGGGTCCTCCTAAGGTCCAGGCCAGTACAGAAATTCCACAAGGGTCCCTCTCAGATGAGCATCCAACAAGTTTCAAAACTCCCAATGACGGAGAGCCTATCATCTTCTGAGGCAGACCTGGGCAAAGTGCGGCCCGAGGACCACATACGGCCCGCGAGCCGCTCCTGTCCGGCCCGCCGG